GGAAAGAGGAAATATTATTTTTAAATTTCTTCACAGGAAAGTACAAAGTAACTTGGAAATGAATTTCCAGCTTTCAGCAATGCTGAAATTAGGAAAAAGTAAGTCTATAGGGAGAACAGATTCTCATGAGATTCAGAGGTACCCTCAAAAATAGAAAAATATTTGCATGAAATAAAGAATCTCAATTGTGGGTTTCCTTCTCTCAAAAGACCAAATAATGATAATGAAGCAGCATGCTAAAGGGCAATGTTTATGCTGGAGTCTGGATGAGAACTGCCCAGGGAAACTTTTGTTGAGGTAGACTCCATCACTGGAAGGAAAGGCAGGCTTTGAATAGTTTCCTTCCCAAGCCTTTATGCTCTCCAAAGAACTTGCCTACTGAATATAGCTTACAAAATAAATATCTTCTACATTTCTTCTGTAAATTTCTACTGGTACCCTGGAGTTTTTTGTAGATTCATGTCCAAAAACTTTGGAGACAAGGTATTTATTAGCACAAGTTGTTAAAGTGTGCCACTTTCATGGAAAAGAGGTTTGTTTTCAGATAAAGCAAGTTACAGGGAAGAGATGTTTGCCCTTTTACCAGTTATTACAGAATGGACTGCACTTCCATTAAGACAATGAACAGTCACTATAAATTGAATGTTCTACAGAGTCTTAACATAGCTTTCTCAGTTAATGATCAAGATATTAGAAAAGACATCTAGTACAAAAGAGAGAAACAGAAGGAGGTCTGAAATAAAAATATTCTCAAGTTCTGCCTGATTAACTCCTCTATGATGAAGAAAACTTTTCTGCTTTCTATTTGTAAGGATGGAGAGGAAAGAGGAACTACCATGCAAAAGAACCTCAGAACATCACCATCTAGATACAATTTTCCTATTTTAGGAATATCTTTGAGCTTGAACAACTCAAGTTTTTCCAGAAGACAAAGCTGGAAAGGGTCGTCATCAGTTGGCAAGTGTTGCAAGCCGGTACTGGGGGGCTACTTGTGTGGGGAAGAAAAGAACAGTTTCCCACAGCTAGGAAGAGGGGGAAATAATTTTTTATGACAACTGCCTGAAGTAGAGGGACCAGACAATTAACGGGACAGAAACCCTCCCCCTGACTCAGTTCTCACTGGTAACAGCTAGATAGACATTAATTGTGTGCCTCCCCCTTGATTGTCTTCATAGCTGAGAGGCCAAGAACCAAACAGGAATTAAAGATGACTAAGCTGAAGAAAATATTACTCTGAAAATTAGGGAATAAGATACTTAGAATAGCATGCATTTTAAATAGTTTCAAAATGAAAACAAATTAGTTCTTCTTTCAAAAGTTTTAAATAGACATTGTGGTTTTTATTTCAATTTAGTTATTTAATTTCAGTTTTCTATTTTATTTTCTTTCCTTAGGAAAGAAGGGGCACTGCATAGCTAATGGGATGATTATGTATGATAAAGCTGTTTGGTCTCCCAAGCCCTGCATCACCTGTCTCTGTTCAAAAGGAAAAGTGATATGTGATACAACCATGTGCCACCCTCTGAAATGTCCCCAAACTGTTATACCTGAAGGAGAATGCTGCCCTGTTTGCTCAGATACTGGTACAGCACACCATAATATTTTTACTATTTTAAACTTACTTCATGCAAAACCTAACATAAACATTACATTTAATGACAGAATGGTTTATAAGGTACACATTATCCTTCTATAGACAAAATAACTCCTGAATTACATGATAAGCAGTCTTAATAATTTCTACTTAATTTCCTTCAGTTTCTTAGAACACATGGGCTATTACATCTGAGTTTGATATGATATTTAAAGAGAAGAAGATGTTAAGTATCCAAAAGTTGAGATAATTCTATTTATTTTTTTATTTTCCCCTTTCTGCTTCTTCCCTCCTACCTTTAGAAAATTTTGGGGACATTTCATATCCCACTTACAAATGATCGATCAATAACCACCAGCCATTATTATTGTTTTAGACATATATAAGACATAACAAACTTTACAGACTCATAAATCTTTGTTAGAAGCATGAAAATATGCAGCTATTTGATATAAATCAAGAAAAGAAAGTTAACTCACAAAAGGAACAACAGAACTACAATCTTGCCTTCTTCATAAACATTTGGCTCAATCATTTCTCAGTCAAAATATGTCTCTCCTGCCTAGTAGCAATGTAAGACTGCTTTTTCATTCTTTCAAATCATCTTGTAAGAGGAATACTACTCTTCTGTAGCTACCATATTTTACTATAAGAGCAGAACAATGTTTATGAAAACTTTAGTTTCATATCCTCTTATGACACAACTTTATTCTCATTGCCTCTGGTTAGCCTCCTCTTTGGATTCAAGTATTATTTCACTGGATGACATAAGTGAGTTGTCTGGTGATTCTCCAGAACCCAATGACCTTGACAACGCCAACGTATTGTCACCAGCACCTACTCAAACTAAAAAAGATGAACAGCTTGGAACAGAAGTGGTAGAGTTTAAAGAGAAAGAAAGTCATAAAAAAGATAAGAAAAGAAAAAGGAAAAGCAAAAAAAATCGTCAGAAGTCTAAAGCTCATCACAGAGAAAAGAAGCCTATCACAAGAAAGGACCCGGCAGAAGAAGAAATACAAGATGAAAGTGATGAAGATGATGGTACTTTCAAAATGCCATCTCATTTCCCAATTCCTGTTCCACCCATAGAAGCTCCCCCTTTGCCATCTGGATGTTCCACCTCAGACACCACAGTAAGCTGTATTAATGCCAAACTTACACAAATTCCGCCAATCTCAGATCCAGATCTAACAAGTCTAGACCTTACAGGTAAGTAATGGGTCTACTTTGCATGATTTTTCTCATGAATTAACATTAGCCATTCTAAATGCAGTTGACTCTTATTCCTTATAATAAAAATGAATTAGACAGAATTTTACAGCTAAGCCTTTAAACCAATATTAAACATGTTAAATTTGCTTACTAGTGTTTGAATACTAATATGAATATATCTACATGCAATTATGGTACACGGTATAACTATTTTAATAACGTATTTTTCATGTACAATACAGTGCAACTCAGATGCATACTTTAATTCATAACTCAAACTATTTTCTTGAATTCTGTCCTAGGAAATAGTATTACTACTATCTCAGATGAAGCATTCAATGGAATTCCTAATTTGGAGTGGATTGACTTGAGTAAAAATAATATTACCTCTCCTGGCATAGGTCCACAAGCATTCAAAGTAAGAAAGCCTACATTTTCTGTGGCTAATTATTCCTTAAAGGAAAGTTTGTCCTGCTTTTCAGTCTATGGATCTAAGCCAGTTTGCACCTAGTATGAGTAACCATTGTATAATTACAATACAGTTAAACCTGGCTTCTCAAGAAATCTCTCATAATAATCAAGAATATCTAGAGATTCTTTAATAACATTCACTAAGTATTAAATGTTAAAGAATAAGAGAGAGAGAAGTGGATGGAAAAGACAGACCTGGAAAGTGTCTCAACAGTGAAATAAATTTTAGTGAGGCTTATATCACTGCCCCATTTTAGTGAGGCAGTTAAGACAAACCTGAAGGAAAGAAGGCTTCAGTGGATCCAGTGCTAAAACAACTTCACCTTTTTAAAGCAATTCTCACTACTACATGATTACTGATCTGCATTTATAAAAATTCAGGTATGACAACTTTTTGTACTAATTTTTTTAAGCTGGCTGAAGTCATGGCCACTGAAATTTGCTGTCATTATGTTGAGCAAAGTAAATTTGCTGATCTACAGAAAACTACCAATTTGCTCACAAGTGAAGAGTATAAACACAATATTCATAAATGCATATACTTTGAACTCCTAAATACTGCAGTGGTGTCGTAAGGTAATGCCTACATGATTCAAAGCCAGCAGCAGTAATACAAGCAGTTATGACTGGATAGCTGCAGGATGGCCATGTGGAAAGTTAAAAATTCAAGCTCTTCTGCTTTCACATTACCTGAATTGGCACTTTTGTTAGTATTTAGTATAAAGAAACCAAATATTTAGGACTGACAGTAGAAAAACATTTTTTAATTCAAAACACTGGATACTAGTGCACTGTTGCTGAAAATTTTCAAAAAGATTGTGTTTAAAGGAAATGTTAATTGGGATTGCACTATATGTTTAACTATTCATTTTACACCTTGATAACTGAAGTTATCTTCTTCGTCCCTATGATTAAGAGCCTGAAAAAACTAAAACGTTTGTATTTGGATGGAAATATGCTGGTACATATTCCCACTGCATTGCCATCAACTTTGGAAGAAATAAAAATAAATGACAACCACCTTCATGCCATTGATGAAGATGGCTTACAAGGTATTTAGAAAGCTAATATTGATCATATAAAAATATGAAGATAAATATGAAAAGCAGAATGTTTAACCAAATACATCTTGTTTGATATAACCAGAAAAATAATCACTAGCTTTTAAGTGCCATGTTTTCAAAGGGCAACAAAAGCTGAAAGACTTGCATGACAAAGTTTTTTGAAATTACATTTCCCGTTCTTATGCAACTGCTATTGTCCCAAAGCAGCTCATATTTAAGATTACCAAGAAGAGATGGATTTGATGTTGAAGATACCTACTTTCCTGACATGTAACCTGATTGTTTCATGTGTGGTGAAACTCTGTTTTTTAAATTACATAAAAATTAACAGAATTTGATGTGCATGAAAAATAAGGCAGAATATAATTGGAGTTAACCAGGATCATTTAAAACCAAGCTAAATGTGAGCCTTTTAATTTAAAATCATCAAACCACACTGTTGGGAGAAGCTATTGAAAGCTGTTAAAAAACAACAACAAACCAACCTATTTGGATTAGTGAATAACAAACTTGTTATTATGAAATATTTCCTGCTTATATACATTATCCATTATCATGTAAGTGACTGGAGACCCATGAAGACCCCACTAGGCAACTGCACAAAGGTCAGCACCCACACGGTACTGCAGGCATCACCTGCATATAACTTGAAGTAATAATACCTAAATGGCAGCACTAGCTACAAGTCTTACAGCTGCTTTCTTTTCCATTCTAAAATAAAGCTCTAGGCAATCTCTGAAGTTCTACAAACCATTAAACAATATCATTCTATTATTATGAGATAATAAATTAAATTCCTTTCACTACATTTCTTCGTTGCTGTGAACCCATCTGAGTAATGTTTAAGACAGTTAAATTTTAAACATGCATTTTAACAAGACATGAAATGGCATTAATTAACAGAAATAAACAACATTTTCTCCCCAGATTTAAAGAACTTGGTCACCCTGGAATTAGAAGGAAATAAGCTTAGTGAAGCGAATGTCAGTCCTTTGGCCTTTTATCCTTTGAAGAGTCTCTCTTATTTGCGACTGGGAAGAAATAAATTTAGAATTATTCCACAAGGTCTTCCTGCCACTCTTGAGGTAAAACCAAAACAAAACAACTAAAAGGGAAAAAAACCCAACCCAAACAAGAAAGATTTTTTCCCCCCCAGACATTTTCACTATATATATTTTTTTTAATTTTATTTTTTCTGCTTACAGCCTTACTTACCATCTGGTAGAGATAAATTTGGTTTTAGATATAATTTTTATTCTCAAATCACTGTTTCTAGAAATTCACTTATATACCAACTCCACTCCAGAATGTATCAAAGGTATCTTTTAAATCTGAGTTTGTCTAGTACTGCCTCACAAACTAGTACAGCCTGCAACTTTTGTCTGTTCACTTACATACCATTAACATCACACTCCTAATACAGTTCACAAGACAGCAATAAGAAGAATGAGAGATCTAAAAAACCTGTTTTGTAAGGAAAGCCTAAAGGAACCAAGATTGTCTAGTCTGAAAGAGAGGGATCCCTGTCTCTAACCACCCTCTTCCTTTTTTGGCTGGCCTAAGTCTCAATTTCCCTGCTTTTCAAACCTTTGCTGAATTCCACTTCGACTGGGGACAGTGTCTGAATGGGAGGTTTAATTTTCTTTCCTGAACAGTTTCATCATTCTCTGCTTACCTCAGTCTTTACTTCAAAAGATAATTCTTGCTACCAATTAATTTCACAATCTCTTCTTGATTCTATCTTTCCTTCTGCAAAACCAACAATAACAATAATACAATAATAGCTAACATTAGCTTCTTCTGCAGCTACTGCCTGCAGCTTTACTTCAGCCTCATGTTCTCCACTACCCACTCGTATGTTACATTTTTCTTTTTTTCCCTTAATCCCTCTCCTTGATGAAACCCTAAACACCTATGCCAAGCTTTTCTACACTTCATATGCTTTGGGAACATTTAATTTTAAAACAACACCTAATAAATTTACAAACACTGATTTTTCAGACTCTGAAGCTGCTTTTCTCTTTTCCCAAAGCCTTTCTCTACAGGCCCTACATTCCATCTCAGGTCCTATATGTTTTTTAGCCATCGCTCCATTTCACATTATATTTATCCTACATTACAAGCTATTACCAGGAACTTAATCTATGGAAACCACACAATTTTTTTTATGTTGCAGACTCACAGTGTTATGTTTTTTAAAACATTAACATTTTAAATTCCTACAAATTTGAAAGTTTCAAAGCGCACAAGTGACAAGCAAAAATTATTAAGAAAGCAAAACTCAGTTTTTTCTCACTAGCAATTTTCCAATGTAACAAAATTTAACAACTTCTTGCAATCTCCTCACTCTCACATTATATACTCTTACACAAGCAAGTGTAAGAGTATATAAGCACGACAAGATACAACTTGTCAAGCAAGCAAGACAAACGATACAACTGTTTTTCTATTCAATATTTCAAAGCAATTTGTAGTCTCACAAATGAGAAAACCAAACAATTGCTTTGAAAATATGTTTCTGAAAGTCACACTACAGCTACAAACTGACTCTGATTCAGATTCTTATTTCTTTATCCAGAAATTAATGGATATATCAGGTAATATGGATGAAAGGTAATAGCTGCCTTTTGAATTTTCAGTGGGAAAGAACAGCATATTTTGCTTTCACACATTTTCTTTCCAAATACACTTGCAGGAGTTATACCTTGAAAATAATCAAATTGAAGAAGTGTCAGAAATTTGCTTTAACCATACAAGAAACATAAATGTTATTGTGCTAAAGCACAACAAATTAGAAGAGCACAGAATAGCACCTTTGGCTTGGATAAACCAAGAGTAAGTACAGATAATTTAAAATAATTTTATTTTTCTCTGTTATTAGTGAGTCAGACAATGGAAGAAATATTTACACTTCATTACTTCTAACTTGAAATCTTTCGATTTGCTTGTTTTCCTTAGCTAATTTGCCTTAATTTCCTTTGCTTAAATTGTATTACCTAGGAATTATTCAGTCAGCTTTAAAACAGAAAGATCTTATGCCTCCAAACTGTATCATATTAACATAAAAGTAAAAATATTTTTCTGACCATCCAATCAGAAGCTGAACATTAATTATCAAGAATATGCCATACAATTATATGATAATTTGGTATAAATACATCATCAACTCAAAGGTAATTTAAAAATAATGATTGTCCTAGCCTTATTTCCCATCAGATTAAAATTGTATAAGTAAATAAGATTCAGGGATGACTGTGCAGCTGCATTGTTCAAGAACAGAATATAAGCAGAGCAAGAAACGAGAATGAAAGAAGCAAAAGATGCTGCTGGTTTTGATTCTTCCAGTAAATAATTTGCTAAGCTATGGAGTGTTTCTTCCCATGACCTACCAGCTGCAGCCCTAACAGTTGATTTCTGGATTTGCAAACTGCTTTATCTGAATACAACTACAATGTTACTAACAGTTTCTCTAGAAGTGAATCACATTTGAATTATTCTAAAGGAGCCATTCACAAAACAATTCAATTTCAAATTGGCTTTAGAATAACATTTAAAAATCTGTTTCAATGGGGTAACCATAAAGTCCCAAGCTTATTATGTGTTTTTCAGTGGAACTCATTAATGCAATTCTCCAGTGCTTATCAATCACAAATTAGTCCCTCGGGTTTCCTCTATGCAAACTTCTCTTTGTACTCATGACTGTAGATTTTTTTTTCCCATCAATAGAATTCACTGGGCTTGATTAATAATTAATGTCTTCAATTATTTCTATTCCCAGAGTAATTACACATGAGCATGTTCCAGAAAATGCATTCTGTTCCAATAAAAGAAACATTTAAATTTGAAATTTAGTTTCCTTGTAATCACATGAAGCATTATTTTGTACAGTACAGCACGTAGCATGATCAGTGCAGTATGCTCTATTTTCATCCCATTATTTTTTAATTTTTTTTCTCCTTTAATGCAGGAACCTGGAATCAATTGATCTCTCTTATAACAAGTTATATCATGTTCCCTCCTATCTGCCAAAATCTTTACTACATCTGATACTTATAGGAAATCAAATTGAAAGAATTCCAGGATATGTCTTTGGTCACATGAAGCCAGGATTGGAATATCTATACCTCTCCTTTAACAAACTTACTGATGATGGAATAGATCCAGTATCATTTTTTGGGGCATACCACTCTCTGAGAGAGTTGTTTCTGGATCACAATGAATTAAAGTCTGTGCCATTTGGAATCGATGAAATGAGAAAACTGCGTTTTCTAAGACTGAATAATAATAAAATAAGGTAATTTCCAAGCTCTTTGTTACACTAATGGCATTAAACTAAGTGTCACGTGACATGCTTTAATAACTTTTTACTTTTAAATAATTACATTTAATAACATTTCTGAAGGAGAAGCTATATCCTGCGTTTTGGGAAAATTTAGCGTACTGATTAAGTTGACATCTTTAAATGTCTAAATTAACAGCATCTCTAAAATAAATTATGAAATTATGAATTATCTTGAATAATCAAAATATAATTCCTCCCACAATGCCACAGGACTGTCCCTCCAGAACGCATCTGCAAGGCTCATATCACTGATGATGATCACGAGAACAGTGAAGAGGAGGAGAATGAAGAGTCACTTTTGGAACATGTTCATCTTGAAAACAATTATATAAAGACCAGACAGCTGTCACCACATGCATTTCCATGCATAAGATCCTATTGCAGTTTTGTTCTCAAACCACAGAAGAGCAAATGAAACCCAACTTTTGCATTGTCCTATTGCCTAGAAGCACAGCTTTATTTATTCTCTGCTACTAACTGGTCTGCTTACTAGTGATTTAAGCCATTCCTATTACCATAAATAAGATACAATATATTATATAGTGAATTAAGTTAGCAGTGTATTTCTCAACATAGATTCATTATAAAAACCTTAAATGTAAAAATAAAAGTGCAAGATTATGTAATATGTTTTTATTTCTATTGACAGAAATCATACACAATACATCAAACTGTGCCCCCAGATACACATTACACAAGATCAGATTTCAGAAAAGAAGAATATAACTAAACCCCAACCTGGACGTGTCTTATTTAATTAACTGAATTTAAAACATGCTAAGTGGTACCATCTGCTTTAAAAATTATACAAATAAATGTCCTTGAGCTATCAACATTCTTCTAGTGCAATAATAAAATTTCTTCAAACATACATGGTACTCGATTTTCTACGAAACAGTTTGCAGTGAGAAATTCTCTTCCACTGAAATGTGAAGAAAAAAATGTTGAATTTTTAGTTTTAAATTGCCCTGAAAACTTTCCACATCCAAGCACAGAATCTAATGAGTTAAAGAAAGGAGCAATTCATTTCTATGTGGATGCTTTTTTCCTTTTTTAAAGTGTATTTCAGTTGTTTTATTTTAAACTCAGAGTGTTAGGTCCCATTCTTTCGTACAATACGTTTAGTTTGCTAGCTTTTCATACTGTTCAGGATCACGATCATGTTGCCCATTTAGGGGACTAATTAGAGAGTCTCAAAACTTTTAGATATTCAGGTAGTGGTTATTTGAAAACTTCCAGATAGTCATAATTACAACTTCAGAGACAACATTGATAAAAGCAGTTTCAGTAATACATTTGATATAAATGTCTGCCTAGGCATACAAGAGTAGCAAGTATTTAAAAATACATCTCTGTTTCTCTAAGAAGGAGTTTGAAGATTTTGAAGATTTTTTAATCTCTGAGTTCAAAGAAAATAAGCATGCTCAATATTGTGCTCCACATGCAAATATTATAATCTTTCTTTAAAGTAGCAAAAAAATTGATTAAAAGTAGTTAGTATTTTTATTTTAAGAAACAATTTCAATAAAAATTGGAGGTAAATTCAAGATATTTAATATTTATCAAATTCTATGGTCCTTTCCTATGAGAGCAGGCTGGTAGCAGGAATTAATTACAGGTCACTGACAAGTCATGATTCTTCAAGCAATTACTTTTCATTGCAAGGCATAAAAGTATATATACTCTTTTCTTCAGTACTATTGGTATGCTGTCTAATAATTTGTTCTTCAGAATGGATTGGAACAAAGGATGAAATGGGATTAAAAGGAAAAAGGAGTAGAAGGCATATAAAAGCTGTAAGCAAATGCACATCATAACTATGTAGTGGTATCACATAGTGGTCCACTATGTCCATATATTTCAGCAAAATACACTCACAGATCTGTAGATTCACAAACACACATTTGTATGCACACACAGGGACATGGTCAGCAACAAACACATGTAATGGGTAAGTGAACATCTCACTTCAGCCTGGGTACCAGGATATGTGAGAGAGCTCTTCTCCCATCCTACCCTGTGGAAACACTGGTGGAGTTGCAGAAAAAAATCTGAGTAAGCTCTGTTGCACAACCATGCATTAGTACTGAACTGTAACTTTACTGCTCTCACTCTGGAAGTGCAAGTTTTACTGTGCATTTCCCTCACACCCCAATCTACATGACATGCCAGACAGACACGCCACATAATTGGCATAAGCACACTGTGCACACAACATTTAACACCAAAAGACCTACAAGTACTTTTTTAGTATATTATAGATGGCAAAAATGAACACCTGAGTTTCATTTTCTCTGAAGCTATACAAACATCATATAAGTAAAATCATACTGTTCTATCTCAAAGTTCTCTTACTCAAGTAAACTATTGCAATGTAACACAAGGCATTTCATCTACAGTGAGTCAAAATATAATGCATTTCTTGTAAAAAAACAATCATAAGGTATGTGGATTGCTTTGGATATTTTGTTTGGTGAAGTACAGTCAGCAGTCCTGCTTCAGCTATTGGCTAAATGTGGTAAAGAATGCTGGAATCAACAGGCTGAGTTTTTACATACTATTTGGGGTGATTTGATTTCATTGCTTGTGCACTTTCAACATTTGATTGCTTCCTTTTGACTTTGGATAATACTTAGGCTAATATTTCTTTGTCAAACATCTTTAAATTCTAAAACTACTATTTTGAGAGACTAAAAACCCCATAAATTATCAAAATTAATACTTTTAGTCTATTGCTAAATAACTTCAGACTTTGCAACACTATTGAGCAGTGCTTTAGTAAGCTTTACTAAGCATTTTGAATACACAGACTGACCCAAGGAACTATTTCCAGATAAACAAGCTGTAATGCCACCATTTCATGTGTTCTTATAAGAAATATAAGCAAAACCCCATGAATTCTTGCAATTATTTTCATTCAAATACAATACTTATCAAGTTATCTATCAAGTTTTGGAAGACCAAACTTCAGGACCAATTACTGCTTAGAGGGGGTCAGAATTGTACTCTGACCATGTTTTAGAACATCTCAACCACAGAGGTGAAGCCTACTTTGGAAAGAGCACATGTTTTTACAAAGACGCTTTATTACTTAAAGCTAGTCTTGCACACAGGAAGCATTTAAAGATTTAGTGGATCAGAAAGAGCAGTCAACCATGTAATCTCCACTCATTTGGAGGAAACCATACATAACAGTCTTATTGTCTTATAGAAAAGTGAAAAAGGGTATAACCATCCACCCCAAAAATATAGCATATATAATATATAGCATATATAATATTCATAATAATATGTTTGACTTATTCAGTGTACAC